ATAACTTATAACATACATTTGCTTTTAACTTTATATCACTTGCAATAATTGTCATTATATCGAACTATTACTTGATTGTCTCAATTTCATTAAAAAGCAAAACAATACCGATCTTTTCAGTGTATATCCGAGATAAAATGTGTATATTTAGTTGTTTTACCTCCAGTCTAGGGGAGAGAATCGTGTATTTGTTAATTCATCAATCAATATGTAGGCCTGTGTTTTGGGGGTAGCGAAAAAATATTTTGTCAAAAAGTAAGCTACTTTAATATTACAAACGTCTTGGGATTTGGTGAGATTTTTATAGTTAGGATTTTAATCCAATTTCTACATGTACGAGTTTTCTGGTAGTAATTTGCTATATTCTATCATTTTGATTCTTTTCGGGGTTAAAAATTTGCGCAATTACCAAAACTTTCTAGATTTCTGAATACTCCATTTTGTATCCGAAAAGAAGTATTCTTGTTCGGCGATAAATATCGGTTTGAATTCCCCCAAGTGATGTCATGCATAATGCGTAAGGCACACATAATGTCCTTCGTCCAGAAAACCCAGAAGTAAACTTAGTGAATTACGTATAGTATATTTTATGTGTAGTCAAGTCAAGTCATGTACAGCAACATATTCCAGCCAGCTCACTAGTTATATGCGGACTGTGCGGACTGTTAAGCCAGATTGCTGAGACAGAGTTATTTATCTAATAGACTTAAATCTATATTAATAATAATAATAATATCGTTAGGTACATAGTTCTTTTGGGTGTCGTGTACAAGGTAGGATTTATTTACCCTTTCGGGAACACATGACAAGTTCAGATGACAACGTTCAAACACTATTTTGCATTTAGTATTGCGATTGCCTTTCAGGATCCATGGTACTATATAGGCCATATTGTATACAAACACCAAATTCCACAATAAAGTTTTAATACAATAAAACACAGTACCGTAGATCCCAAATCAAATTCCGGAAAGGGAAGCAGTATCAAAATCAAGTTTGATCAAATTAGTATGTCCAATACACATACTAATATGCGGACTCAATTTATGTGGATATATTTTGTTTATAACTATCGGCGTGAATTGTCACAGCTATATAGATCTAAGAGGCCAAGATAAGAAAGATCAAACTTATTAAGGTCATTATCAAAGAGATGGAGCGGTAAAGATCAAATGATATGTATGACTTGTCCATCATAGCGACTAGTAGTTTGACAGCTAGACCTGTCAATCATATCTACAGTAATGACCTCACAATCATTGGGCATATATGGATACGGCTTTGATACGTTGAACTGACTACACTAGTCTTCCTGACAAAACAATAAATATCTATATTTGTGTCTGTCATTTGTCTGCTTGTTTGTTGGGGTTTGGTTACTACACTAATGCTATTCCGAGGCTGGATTTTGGGGCATAAGTGACATACGCCTGCTGGTGTTACATTATCACTTTCGGTTTCGGAAACTCCGATAAGGGAGCGCGACATGGCTCTATATGTACAACGTCCGGTAAACAGCTAGTGAAATGATAAGACTGGACACGCCTAAACGGTTTACAGTGGATTCGGCCTGTACATATGCTCCATTGTGCTTTAGTACTCTTTCATTTTGGGTCAAACATAAAATTGTTGGTTTAATTAGATTTTAATTTTGTTTTCTTTGTTTAGAGGGGTAATAATCTATTTTCGTTGAAGCCAGTGCTGAGATCTAGCCGATTTTGGTTTCCACGACACAAAAAGCCAAACACTATCTGAAATTAGTAAACAAGTCGATTTAAGCTAAGTCTTTCGAATAAAACATCTAATGGTTCATCATTTATCTCATATCTAACCGAGCTTTGGCTTCTCTGAACCATTTGTACATTTTCTGCTGGGTCTAGTACTTACGTACTTACAAATATAGTCAATTTCCGTGCTTTTGATTTTGTCGAATTCGTCCATAGATCATCCTATTTTGACGTTTGTATTTGCTAAATTTTACCACAGTCTATAAACATCGAGATCCTCGTACCCCTAATGGAGTGGGCATACTAGAGACGTTTAAAACAACCGATATTTCGTGCAGCATAGCATTTGAGTAATAGTTCAATCGTTCAGTTCAAATGGGACTGTGGGCGACTGCAAAGAGTCTGTTTTGTAACTAATCTGTTGTTCAGATTTTGTAGTAACGTTTAAAAAGTTAGGCGATCTGTACATGAAGCGGGCCAGTTAAAGGATATTCAGCAGTTGGGTATGTACATGTACAACACTTGTAAAAACATTCATTAATTTACTGATATTGACAAACACAGTATACCATAGAATGTGTTTACTTTATTTCTAAAAGTGAGTTTAAAATTAAAAGTAAACAATAACAATTACCTTACAATATATAAAGCCAAACAGTTATTTGCTGTAGAACTAGGAAAATAGCACAAAAATGTAATTTTCTATGCCACCTATAGCGAAAACGTAGGCAGACATACATTTATAGGTTTTCAAGTAGCCGGAATATAAATGAGCTAGGTAGAGGGCGCTGACGGATATTGCTATCTTCTAAATACTTGCTGAAATGCAAACCGGAAAAGGCGCTTCCAGTACCCTTTTAAAACACAATAAAACATTTTATGAGTTGAGGAATGGCAAAAAGTCTTAATGAATATCACACTGATTGGGTGTGGTGTTTTGTGCCTCAATCATGATAACAGCCATCCCTCCACTTAAGCTGCGATGTATGTATGCCGGCTATAAAACAGCAACCATTCGTAGAAAAGCTTTTACTAATAATTTGACAACTGGGTTGCTTTGCTCTGGATTGTATCAAACAGTCTCCATGTATTTCTAGTATTTTTAACACACCTAAAGATAAATTCATCAAACTTCTCATAAATTCCCAGCAAGGGGGATAATCCAGTTGGACTGACTCGACGGTTTTAATACCGATATGCCTATAACTTTTATTTTATGGATATGTATTCCACTTTGTTCTGAATAAAATATGTAAATCTATATATTGTTATAGGATTTGTTCTCCGTTTTGAAATTCTATACTTTAATATATCGAAATATATAGCATTTATATTAAATTAAAAACAAATGTAGAACATATCTTCAAGTTAAAAGTTTAAAGCTGAAGCATTGACATTAATGGCTATTGTGGAATTTGTGGTCTTTTATCTCTTCCGGAATTCATATTTTGAATCTGTCGCCGAGCCAAACACATGGGCCCTACATAATACAGTTTCTCTCTCTCTCTTCACAAACAGAAATGTTTTTTTGATCACGTTTTCCTGTGGGTGTCCATTTGCTGTATTTATATTAACCATAACTTACCATTATATGACCATACAGATATATTCGTTTTGTTTTAGACACATTAGCAAAGGGAATTTTGTAGTTTTCTTGTTGTGAAATTAAAACGCGTAATGAAAACAAACATGGGGTGTGGTTTAAAGGAAGAAGATGACCATTGGAAAATTTAAAAAATGACAGCATTCTTTTTTATTGCGATTTTAATTTTCATAATATAGAGTGTTTCTTTTGTAGCTTTCTTGTTGTGAAATTCAAACACACCATGTAAACAAACATAATCAGGGTTTGCAGGAATAAAGACCATGGGAAAGTTACAAAATGGCAGCATTCTTTTTAATAGCGATTTAGTTTTCGTAATATTGATTGTTATTCTGTATATTCTGGCATGTTTGAAAGTCCATACGTATGTGACAGTTTTATTACTTACCAAATCGGCTAGACAATGAAGAAAAGGTGGAAAAGAATCGTAAAATGGGATAAAATATGTTGTCAAGGAGCGTGTATCGATAATTCACTCTAATCGTTAACCTATCTAGATCATATGAGCACCCAGGCAGTCCAAGCATTAAACCCAGCTATTTTATTGCGGAGGTGGATATTTTCGCTATCAACAATGCCATCTTTCAATACCTTTGGTATTTACAGTCCATTTACTGCTCTGTAATTGCTGTCGTTTTCAGAGGACATGACACCAAATGATTTTATTGCCAGGAGAATGAGAAGGGAGATAACTGGTGAAACACCAGGGGCTGTAAACCAGCCCCGTTTGTTTGGAAAAAGGAATTGAATACGACAATAGATAAGAGGGGTAATTATAGTGTCAAGATGACCATGGCCTTAAGTGGTCACTACCGTCCAGATAAGTGGTCAGCAAATAGGCACTTCACACCTAGATAATCGGTCATAAGGTACGTGTTTGTAAACAGGCTGGTACTATTGATATACCGACGCCTACCTCTTAATCGGTGCAATAAACCGATTATATCCCAACACTTTTCTTAGAAATAAAAAACAACGCATATCCGCCAAGCAACCCCAAATTATTTTACAGCTTAATTGATACCTGGAAGGAAACCTAGGATTAAACTTTCGTCTTTGACCTGTGACCTTTTCTTTCAAGCGGTTGATCTTTTAAGCCGCCTAGAATACTGAAGACAAGTGTCCATATTATCACAAACATACAGTAGTTTGATAGTCTACATTCATCTAGCTTATGCCAGTGGTTTCTCTGAAACCTTCTTGTCAGCTTTATGCGTACAGATTGATAAAAAAGGAATGACAAGACTGAATATTTATCTTTAGTTCCCCCAATTGCTTGTTTATTTGGAAACTTTAGAATCTACATTAACCGGTTGGGAAGGCTTAATTAAGGATTTAATATCTCGTAGGGCATTTCATAACTGTTTTGTTTCTCTTCGAGAATTTCCTAACTGTGTTGTATCTCTTCGAGAATTACATAACTATTTTGTATCTCTTCAAGAATTTCATAACTGTTTAGTACTCATAGCTAAAACCTGGGAGAAACTAACTTTGAATTTCCGTTATGTTTCGGCACCCCAATTGGAGTCTAGACGAAGCACACCATTATCTTAAGACATTTTTCAGTGATAGCCCCTAGGCGACTTCTCCGCTGATGAGGCATAAAGTCCTAGAAGTCTAGGTAGAGACTAACACGTGTGCACAATCATACTGTAAATGTAAATATTAACTCGTTTTTGACTAAATTGTAAACACTCTGACGCCATTTTAATAACGAATACATCACATTTATTCAAACACATTAATAATATCATCGTAAGATCATAAGTTAAGAGACTATATTGTCACTAAACATACACGTAAGAAATTATGAAGTATGATGATAACAAAGATGAATATTTTTTTGACAAATTAATAACAAAATTAGAGTAAAAACCATTTTTTTGCCCTTGTTTCGTCATCAAATTACATTTTATTGAGCATGCGACTTATTTTTAAAATATTATTCGATATTAAATTTGTGTTTTAAGATTTAATAACTAACAACATTAATGGGCTTTTCAATCAATAAATTCACATAATAGCATGTTTATTAAATGGTTTTAGTTCTAAAGCAAAACAGTGTCCTAAATATATTCATACATAAATATGCATCGGCACATCCTAAGTCCAAGACTATGAATAGACGTTACGAATTACGCCTACATGCAGATAATTTAAATAGAATAAATCAGAAATAAGCAAACGAATGGTATTACCATATGACTTTATAACTTAAAACTAGAAATATAGTTATCACTTAAAATATACTAATAATTGAGGTATACTAATAATTTACAACTTTTTGGACACAATACATAATACAAAATAAAGAAAAACAAACAAAAAACTTGCTGAAAGTGTATTTCGTAGGTCTCCTTTTTTTATATTTCCAGCCATATTGAGGTATATAAGGTTTCTATGAGTTTTTCATATCGTTTGTTATATAAATATATTATATTAACAAGTGTGTTTTGGCTTATATGTGGGTCCGTCTTATTCCCTCGCATTTAGAATTAGAATATAATTTAGTTCAGCAACACTTTCGCCAGTTGATCAAATTTGTCGACAGTTTCTCAAACTAAATAAAAGTAAAGTAACATAACTACGTTTCATGCAAATCAACATATTCATCAACGACCTACGTTTAGTTTTTGTTTACCCTGTAAGTTTTTCACTTGAGAAAAAATCCCAAGAGGTGTGGGTTTCAATCAACTAAAAGGGTCCACCTCACAAAGCCCGTTCGAGTACTTTTACCACCCAAGCTGAATGATTGTCACTTTAGTACGGCACCCTGTAGGACTCCCTTTTTGGTTTATCGGCTAAATTGGCATACCACACAATGGAGGATGAAGATAGCCATTTTTTCTGCACTACATGCACGAAATCACAATATGAGAATTTTCAAGAATTTACCCTGAGGTCACCTGTTTTTCTCTCGTTGTGACAGGAGTTGGTACCCCCACACAATTGTAAAATATAACTACCCCGAGGGGTCTTCAGGCGAGGGGGTGTCCATATTTAAAGAAGAGGTACCAATGTCTTTAGGGGACAAGTCACAGTCTTTTAAACTCTTGTCGGGACCAGTTAATTTTTGAACATTGTTTTCCTTCTTCCATTTCATCCGTCGATTTTGAAACCATATTTTTATTTGTCTTTCTGTAAGCCCGAGCATGTGCGCCACTTCTATTCTTCGTCTCCTTGTGAGATATCGGTTAAAATGGAACTCTTTTTCTAATTCTAATGTTTGGTATCGTGTATAGGTTTGTCGGGTTCTCTTCTGTTCAAAATGCACATCAGCTACAAAATAAAAATATGAACAGATAATTAGCTTTATTTTTTAAACTTATTATAAATATGGCGGGTAAATGTTTCCAATGATGAAATATACTCTTCAATTTCTTAGAAATTATCTCTAATAATGAAACGCAGTTTTGAAGTATTTTCTCTAGTAATTGTAAATATTGTATTTTTTTTTTTAGTCAGCATTCAGTTTTCATATTAATAAAACGCTGTGCTGCGATCTTATTTTTTGTTCTGACGAGGCATACCCACCCCCTCTTTCTCTCCCATACAGACGACGCAACCTAATTTTTATACTAAAAGAAGTTATAGATTAATTTTGTAACCGACAAAAACTCCGACAGCAATGCATATTAATGTGGCCATAAATCTGTAATATAATGGCAAGAAATATAGGATATTCAAATTTCTTCTCCAAATAGAAATCGTTTACCTTTTAACTCTACATAATTAAAAACAATGCAAGAATATATACGGCCTTCAAATTAAATAAGTCAGGAAATACATATTATTAGTAATATACACATATATTAAGTCATACAATTTACTGTTCATTAGTTTCTAAAGGAAATGGCCAGAATTATTTTATAATAGTTATATATATAAAGAAAATATATTTTAAGAAATAAAACCTTTAATTTTGTAAGATGTATGTCTTTTATTTTTTTTAATAGAATTATAATAGATTGTAAATTAAAGACTTTAAAAAATTTTGGAATATATTTCGTGCCAAATATTATCCAAGATATTTCATTATTGATGTATTTACTGTAAAATACATCAAATATTTTATATAAAAATATTAATAATTTATTTCATATATTTAAAAAAAAAAATTATGTTATGTATATATATTTTTAAAAATCATTTATATATTTGTAAATTCACTATTTACCTTATGCATTCATCAATTAATTTATTTCAAAATTCGTTCATTTATCAATGGATTAAAATAATAATTTATTTATTACTTCATTAATTTATTAGTTGGTGAATTATTTTAGTCAGTTAATCGTGTTTAGGCAGACATCTTACACATTCAATTATGGATTGAATTATCTAGTTTCAGATTGATTATGGTTAACATTAAATTGTTTAAAACTTAAAGTATTGGGTGAAAAATAATTATATACATAATCTCGCAGTAGGAAAACGTATTTACACGAACCCATTAAATACTCCATGTTAATTTTATAAAAATAGCACGGTTTTTTCTATTTTTGGGAGAAATGATCGTCTCCTCTCTGTTGTGTTGTTATTGTGGTAAGTGTTTATTCTTTTTAAAATAATTTATGTTCATGCAGATTCTCCCTAAAACATTACATATTTCTTTCATTCATATATTTTTTTTCGGGAACTGGTGGAATATGGGAAATAGTATCCTTGCAAGAGCTCTGTCTCTGGATGATGAAGATTGTTTTCTGCACTACATGCATGCACGAAAATAACAATATGAGAATTTTCAAGAATTTACCCGAGGTCACCTGTTTTTCTCTCGTTGTGACAACAGTTGGTACCCCCACACATTTGTAAATATAACTAACCCGAGGGGTTTTCGGGCGAGGGTGTGTTCATATTTAAAGAAGCGGTACTAATTCATGTCAAGCAAATTCTCCCTGAAACATTACCTATTACAATCATAAATATATTTATTCTTAAACTGGTGGAATATATTAGTATCCTTGCAAGATCTGGCCCTTATAATTTGAATCTTTGGGTACATTTCAACTTTTATGCTTAATCGTTTCGAAAACGTAAATATACTTTAATTATGAAAATGTAATCTTTAAGGTGACTAGTAATAATTTTAGAAATTATAAATACGTGCATCATTTCATGTATAGGTGGACTAGTGTAAACAACACGTTGAACGTTTAAATTGAATATGTATATTAAAATGGTTCAAAATCTTAATATTGGGGAAACATATCGCAAAATATAAAGAAAGTTTATTGTTTTATATCTTGTACTAGACACAAACTAAAAACAACCCTACTAAATATGTAAAATGTATACTAAAATGTTTCGAAATATGAAAATTGTGGGAACATACCACAAAATATAAAAGAAAGTTTCTTGTTTTACTGTGTACTAGACACAAACTCAAACTCTTAGTAATACGGTTTCTAATTATGTATCATTATGATGCTGTCAATAGGTTCAATGACATTTATTATCATCGATACGACATAAACTTCAATAGTTTAACCTCGTTAGGGTAGGTTTAAAGTGATCTTTAAACACACACTGTTCTGTCTATTCAAGAAAAAAACAGATTAAATGGCCATAATGTATGATCACATCTCATAAAAGCTAACTAAGCATGGTCACATTATACACTTAAGTCTTCATTAATCTCGTTTTAAAAATATATTCTTAATACCACTCTTAAAGCATAAAATCTTTCGCTCGGTTTCGCTTCAACAAAAACAGAATTTGAATCGAGTCATTGCCCATGGTGCTCACCGGCTTGTTCAAAATACTTTGCTGTCTACTCGTCGGTCCCCGCGGCACCAAGTGTTAGCGGGATATCGGGGCTTTTAAATTTTACGACCTGATAGCAAAAGGAGTTATACAAGATGCATTGAGAAATATTGAAATACAACTTAATGGTGATCATAAAACTTTCTCTAAACAAAAGCTGGACATCTGCGATACAAAGGGCAGATAAGTAACATGTGCGTGATTTATATTCACAACTTTTGCTCGATTATGTCATGCGATGTCAGTGATATAATGTCCTGGAAACAGATTTATGAAAAACCTTCTTGTTTTCTGAAGTTGTAAAATATTTGGATGACCCATGACACTAGCCATTACGTGAAGATGTGTCCTGAGAAATCTCACTTTAAAACTTGACAATGAAATATACAATGCAGAATAGCCAACACCACAATGCAGAGTTAGATGCAAAACAATTGTATATAAATGATGAAGTAAAGACTGTCGACATTCATAGCTATAATATAGAATCTGATATTCAGAAATTAATATTTATTTTGATAGTAAAACTTGTATGAAGGTAGAGTTTTTGTCAGATTCGTGTACAATAAACAATATTCACAATAAACTTTTCCAATATACACACGCATTTATTTTATAAAAGTTGTAAGTAAAACTGAAATGAAAGTTTTAAAACAAAGAGCCAGAAGAGTTTGTAAGATTTGTGAAAAATTTACAGTCTTCATAATATCCACATCTACAAATAAGGATGAATAAACGTCTTAGTATCTAGTATAATATAAGCATTTACTTTAAGGCTGATAGCTATAAATCCATCGAGCACAGTATTGAATGGCTTTCCTGTTCTTGTCAACTGACCCACAAAATACTACAGTTTTATATAAAAATTATGGTAAATAGGGAATATTCACACTGTTTGATTCACCCGATCTATTTTAAGCTTGTGAATTTCCATAAATAGCATTACATTATTATTAATAATTCGGCGAAACAAGTAAGAGTCTTGTATATTGTTTGATATATTCTACACACCTAATCTGTCAAATACAAAGTATATTTAGCCCAACCCTTCAAGCTATTTTTACTGAAATAATCAATAATGCCTTGATATGTATGACCCTTCTAAACTTTACTTTTATCATTTATTCTACAAATTACATCAAAAAGAACTTGTCATTCATCCGTCAATATATGTCAGAGCAAATCATATATAAGGGGGACAATTTCGGTCAATTTTGCTTTGTACTCGGTAGCAATAATTAGATGAAAATCGATACCCTGTTGTTTCATATTCATATGGCAGCACAAATATGGCCGTGGAATAACCTTACAACATTCATTGTAAGACGTAATTGAAGGAAAATATATTAATACAAATATAAATATAAAGCTTATTTTGAGTCAAGCACGTGGTAAATATTATTATTTCAACGGAAATTCAAACCAACCTTGGAAACGAAATGAGATGGGGTTTAACGTCCCTTTTTCTACTCCATCCACTCACCTTGGATCTTTTACGTCCACAATTCCGATCGATACAAAACCCAGTCTCGTTGCAAATTAATTTAAAGGAACTACACCATTCTAATTTAGGTTAAAATCAAGGGTTGGCCTGTGTTACTATGACTTATTTGGATTAGTGATGGGACAAAATCGTTAAGATTAAATGTTCTTTTCAAAGTATTAGGCAGAAGTTTTGGGGTTTTTTTTCTGATAGTTTTTCTTAAACTTTCGACAGTGGAATACAAAAATAGCTATAATATCTCTACACCGGCTCAATGTGTGAAGCAAAAACTTTTAATATAGACAGATACCCATCATAAAGCAAAAACGACACATCAGACGTAATTAAATCGACAAATTTATTTATGTATAATCAGGTCTAGTCATTTAACCTAAAAACTAATCTATACACATCTAGGTCTATAGAATGGTACATAATTTACCCTAGAGTTTATGAGAGACTCAAAGCAAGTTCGAAATAATAGCATTCATATTGTACCTATCTATATTCTAGTTTTAATGAAACAATAGCATTCATATTGTTCCTATCTATATTCTAGTTTTAATGAAACAATAACATTCATATTGTACCTATCTATATTCTAGTTTTAATGAAACAATAGTTTTAATGAAACAATAACATTCATATTGTACCTATCTATATTCTAGTTTTAATGAAACAATAGCATTCATATTGTACCTATCTATATTCTAGTTTTAATGAAACAATAACATTCATATTGTACCTATCTATATTCTAGTTTTAATGAAACAATAACATTCATATTGTACCTATCTATATTCTAGTTTTAATGAAACAATAACATTCATATTGTACCTATCTATATTCTAGTTTTAATGGACTACGTGCTCATTTACAATTTAATGCAGTTTTAATCAAATGCCCTTGACTCGTTGCATTGTGCTGATAATGTTTTTTTTTTCCTAATGCTCTTGAATAAACATTTTCCAATCAAAATCATTGCAAACAATTAACATGGTTCGTGCAAGAAAAGCCACCTGAGCATTGT